AATTTATATTCGCCCTAACAATTAAGTCGTTTTATAGTGTCCATTATTTCCACGTTATTCTGATTACTTATTATCATAAAACATGTTTTTATAATTTTTGTTATCATGCAGAGGCTTGGCTTTCGACTATTTTAAATGATATTTTTAATTCTTAGCAATAAATAAACTAATGTGGCTTCTGACTCATAGCCTATGCTTTAACCAGATGCCGTATCAATGTAACAGGCAATAATATTTAAAGCATATTTACTTAGACAATAGGCTTTCTTAAAGATTTGCTGTTGCTTATTCGTCAGTAGCTCAACTTACATAATTGTCTAATAAATTTAGTATTATATTATGAAAAGTTGTGAAAATTATTTAGGGTTAGGCTAAGACTAAATTAAGAAGAAAATATCTATTTATTATTTATTCTTAAAGTTTGATTTCGAGCGAATTTCAGTCATTTTGGATTTCAATTTTAGGCTAATCTAGTTGAACCAATATCAGTGTTAGTTGCAAATACAATTTTCTTACTAGGATATGACCCTTATCGTCAAGAGATCATTAATCTATGTTTAATTGACGTAAGGCATCTAATGTTAAATATATATCGGTATGTCATATTACCCGTTTGAAGGGAAGCTTGCTCTTTGGTTTATTGTCAAATCTGCCCGATAGGTGATATAAAACTGCCCTGCTGCGGCGGCGCTGGTATTTGTAAGTCGTAGAAGGCTCGTCATCTGATGAGCTAGCATTAATCGAGGACGACGAAGATGATACTTCCGGAGGGGAATTGGGTCGACAGATTTGTACGCAACGGTTTACTTTTTTTTCAGCTGCATCCGTAAGGATTTGTTCAGGAAAGTTCATAGAAGTTTTAAGTGAAGTTGGTGACTTGGTTGGCGCTTCATCACTAGCCAATATTTTGACGTCGGGGACGAGGTGTTTTGTCGTAATACCTAAGTCCTGGTCCAACTCGCCTCTGCACAACTGGGCCAATTCATTCTGCTTATCCATAAGAAAAATATAATTTATACATATAAAAGTCCTTCTTTAGCGAATAAATTCAGCTTAAAAGAATCGTGTATGAGTCATAAACAATTCAAGATATTTAATTAAATATGTTTATAATTTTGACTGAAAAGAAGGTTGATACATTGGCATTTCAAATTCATTCTTTTGTAATATAGAATAGTCTAAAATTAGCATAATTCATTAGTTTACTAACAATTTAAAGGTTTATAAATAATTAGAAATTCATGCTAAAATGAGGAAGATCAGCAATCT